TCCATCTGCAACTATGAAAAATTAAAAATAAATAAAAGGGCCAAAGCTACTTTCCCAGAACAATTTCAGTACACGAGTAGATAAGCCATAGCAGTGGCTTATATAAACAACAGCAACATATGGTCTTCTGGAACTCCAGGGTCACCGTGTGTATAGGCAGTCCTTCATCCTTTTGTTTCATATTTTTAGCAAATCAAGTGTGATAGGTTCCCATCACCCTTGTTTTACAGGTAGAGAATTTGACATTCAGAGAGATTAAGTGATTTGCCCCCGGGGTCAGACAGTACAGCTGAGTATCAAAAAGGCAGAAGTCTTTTTTTTAGCTTTTTTTTTTTAGTTGTAGTTGGATACAGTATCTTTTTATTTTATTTTTATGTGGTGCCGAGGACTTCTGCGCCAAAGCAGACATCTTATTTCAAATTGAAGATACCAGAGTTCTCTTCTCTCTCCCTGTCCCATTCTGCAATTCTTGGTGAATCTTATGCCCTAACTCGGGCAAGCAGGCATCTGGGTTTCCTGGAGACCGATCCTCATTCAAGGGAGCTCTGCCTCTTTGTGGAACCACTGCAGATCTGAGATCTGGTCCTCAGGATATAGATCTTTATGCTCACCAATAGATAAATAGATTGGAGAGGATGAGTCACCCTGACTAAGCCACCACATAGCTAAGTGATAAAGTCAAATACTAATTTCTTAATTTATAATGGGAAATTAAACTGCTCAGATAACTAGTACATTAGAAGTCTTTATGAATATGTTGGAAGAATAGTCTGGATTCGGATCAAGTTTTATGGAGCCCAACACAAGATACTTAGAAATGCTCTCTACCCTGGACAGATGCAACTCTGACATATTCTCCATGCTCAACTGTTCTTTTTCTAAATGGCAGACTCCTCTCTCTTTAGTTACAACAACATTGCATTGGATGGATCACAATGAATTTTCCTAGATCATAGTAAATTACCGTTTTCGTTCCCTGGATGAAATTTAGAAAACATCACAAAGGCATACCTAGCACATTTTCTAATCATCACCAAAGAAAAGCTTAAAAAACTCTTTATAATTGGGCATGGTGGTGTAGGCCTGTAATCCTAGCAACTCAGGAGGCTGAGGCAGGAGGATAGCAAGTTTGAGGCCAGCCTCAGCAACTTAGTGAGGCCCTAAGGACTTAGTGAGACACAGTCTCAAAATAAAAAATAAAAAGATGGAGGATTTAAGCACCACTGAGCTTAATCTCCAGTACCAAAACAAAATAAAACCTCTTTCGAATGATGACTTCTATACATACATAAAGCTAGAAGGAAATCCCCCTGCGCTCATAACCCAGCTTCTACAGTTATCAACATCCTGCTGGGGTTTTTCCATCTATCATTACTTCCCCCTAACCCCCAACCCCCCAGTTTTCCCCCAGAGAATTTTAAGTGGAGTTTCTGATATTATCTCTAAATCTAAATTCAGGTGTCATTCCCTGTTTGGAATGTACTCTATGAATTGAGTACAAATGTTATTATTATTATTATTATTATTATTATTATTATTATTATTATTATTTGTACTTGGGAATTGAACCCAGGGGCACTTTACCACTGAGCTATACCCCTAGCCCTTTTAATTTTAATTTTTTTTTTTTTTGAGACAAGGCCTGGCTAAGGTGCTGAGGCTGGCTTTGAACTTGCAATCCTCTTGTCTCAGCCCCCTAAATGCCTGGGATTACAGGCATGCACCACCACACCCAGCTACAGATGGCATTCAAAGCCCATACACCAAGCAATTTGGGGTAGGGTTGAAATGAGATACTGCATGTGAATGGCCTGTAAAATCGAGCTCTGTATTATAATAATTAGATTTTCAAAACCAAATTCCTGATGCCTATTCCAGACCTATTGACTCAAATGTTATTGGGTGGGACAGGCATCCTTGTATTTCAAAGTGACTCCAGCATATTTGATGGTGATTTGTCCAGAAGCCAATATTGAAATGTCACTGCTGGGAAGTGGTAGAGTTAGAGGCATTCTCTCCTAGGTCTCAGGGTCTGCTTGGCATTCTGGAAGTACAAGGGCTGGGTTCTGATCCATCATTACTATGGGGCTGAAAATGGACCAGACCCTAAGGCCCCACCAGCCCCCTGAGGAGGAAGAATGGTTGCACCTTGTTTGAGAGGATCTGCTTTGGGTCCTGGGGTTGGGGTAGGGATAGATCTGAATAAATGGCAAGGTTTAGAATTGAAGAGTGGGAGGGAAAGAAAGGATGGACCAGGACGCTGCCTTGGAGTCTCTGTGCTGGGGTGGGGGGGCATCAGGTTTCAAGGAGCACCCGAGTGGAGGTGCCTGTTCTGCTTGAAGATGACACATGGAGGAGTCACCCAGAACCGCTGGAATGCACAGCTGGCATCATGCAGGAACGCTCCTTGCCCCGAGCTGTGCAGCCCTAGATCATGGGTGGTGATGCCACCACGGAGAAAAGGTGAACCTATGAGGCAGCAGAAGGGATGGTAGGTGGAGACCCGACCAGCCTCTCTGTGTATGAGGGGCTATGATTCCTTTTTCTCTTTCCATCTATAGCCCCTCAACCCCTTGACAGTGTTGAACTTGACTGAATTCTGTGCTCTGAAAAGTAGCTGCAGTGAAGCAGTTCCGCCATCCTTCTGTGCTCCCTCCTAAGTTTACATTCCAAGAAATGGCTACTCTTAAAGGACTAACCTGTTCTAGAATATTCCAGGATGAGGCCCACTTCTACTCTTCCTCAGGAATTCAGACAAGACCTTCTCCCTCCATCCTTCCTCCTGATGACACCCTCGGCTACCTGCCTCTCTAAAGCCCCTGACCCCATTCCTTCCTCATTGATGATGTTCTATTCTCCCTTTTGCAACAGGTGGGAAATCATCTGGTTTATTGTCCGGATGTCACCTTCCACTCCCTTCGTTTTTTTGTTATTTTTATCTTTTTCACTCTCTTCTCCTTTATTCCTCTTTTCTTTAAAGAATTTTACGCAGTGAGGAATGTAGCTCAGTACTAGAACTTGCCAGCATGCACCAGGCTCTGAACTCCATCCCCCAAACACATACATACAAAAAAAGAAAAAAGAGAGGGAAAAAAAAGAATTTTACACTGAGAAATTTACAGATGATAATCTATCAGAAATCCAGCTGACAAGTTGTGTGACACTGAATGCTGTATGAGTTACTTTAAAATGAAAATTTTTAATTTTATGTGTATTTTACCACAATTAAAAAAAAAAATTCTTGCCTGTAGTCCCAGGAACTCAGGAGGCTAGGAAAGGAGAGTCACCAGTTGGAGGCCAGCCTGGGCAAATTATGAGACCCTGCTCCTTCAAAAGAAGAAATCCAACTGGTGATGTAATTCAGTGGTAAAGTGCTTTCCTAGTATGGACATCGAACTCTGGGTTCGATCCCTGTCACTCAAGAAAAAGAAAAATCCAGCTGATAAAGAAACACAATGAAATTAATTTTTCAAACAATTACTTTGTACTGATGGTGGGTTAGGGGTGGAGAAGTGGGTGGGACCTGGCTAGGACATGAGTAAGACCTGCTTCCTGTGGTCCAGGAGCTCCCCGCCTTGCTGGGGAGACAAATGCATACTCTGCTAATTGAGGTACATAATTCCAGTGACACACATTTTAATAGATATGTGTACAGCCTTATTTGAGTCAGGTTGTGAAGGGCCTTGAATGCTATGCTAAGTAGATTGGATTTTATCCTATGTTAATTGATGGCCATGAATGGTTCTAAAGCCAGGGTACCACATAAATAGAGTCACTGCAATTCCTAATGTTTGTCACCACACATCATCAGCTTTGTATGGAGTAAGAGATCAACGGCTTTGACAGCTTTAAAAAGTTGAACCCCTATAAATTAGTCTCATAGCATATTTCTCTTTTAAATATACTTATGCTCAGGAAAGAAAGAGTTAACTGTGATGAAGTCTCCTGGGAAGCCGAAGACACAGATCTGACAAGGGCTGTGTAGAAGATGTGCATGGAGCACATTCACAGCTCAGGGGGTAGTACAAGCCCTAGCTTGAAGGCCTCCAGGAGGAAGTGGGCAAGAGGAAGTGGGCTGCTGAAAAGAAGAGGGAAGTGAGCGAGGAAGCTAGAAAACGTATGTGGAAGTGGGCAGTAAGGCCAGGGCAGACAGCTTTGTGTGCCAGGCTGAATCTCCCCTCTGAGGATGATGACTAACCATCAATCACCAGTCAATGATGATGATGAGAGAGTCCTTACTACGACGTATCAGGGACTATTCTACTATTCTCTACTAATATTGACTCTTTGATACTGACAATAGCCATGTTAGAGGCTTAAATCATGTTGGTGGCCACCTGAGGGATGGTGGCTTAGAGGACCAGTCTGGATACAGGTTATTATGGCTCAGGAAAAAAAAGAAAGGAGGGATGAAAAGGAAGTGATGGTATAGCGAATGAATTAATTCGTGTGTTTTTAATTATTTTACACTTGTGGTTTGTGTTACGGCCCCGGATATCTTGGCAAACGTTTTATTTGCACTAGTAGAGAATGCCTCTTCCGCTGTTGTTGGGCGGAGGTTCTATAAATGTCATCAGGTTAAGTTGGTTCGCAGTGCTGTTCTTTGGTAAATTTGACAATTTTCCAGCTACTTCATTGTGGATTTTTCTATTTCTTCTTTCGGTTCTACATCCTCCTGACAGCGCAGTAAAATATTGTGACACAGATGGTAGAACGTTTGCTTGGAGTCGGAAGAAACGTTTTCTCTCTTTAAATTTACTATAGAATGCCGAAACAAAACGGAAATCCCTACGTAACCCCACAGGCCTAGTGAAGCTCAGGACAAATGCAAAGAAGGGAATCGGGACATTCGGCTACGCCCCTTTCCTGGGTTGGCAAGGCAACTGATACCCAAGCCAGCCAATCGGTGAGAGGCTCACCTGTGGGGGCGGGGACGCAACAAGAGCCAATGGGACGCGGGCCAGATGGTTCTATGGACCAATGGGTTGGGCGACGGGGCGGGCTTTTGATGAAGGCACGGCGGTGAGAAAGATGGCGGCGGCTCTGAGACCCTCTGAGTGGTGGCAGCGGTGGCGGCGGCGCTTGTCGGCTTGGGATGGGTCCAGGATGTTGCTTCTTCTCCTCTTATTGGGGTCTGGGCAGGGGCCACGGCGAGTCTGGGCGGGTCAAACGTTCGAGTACTTGAAACGGGAGCACTCGCTGTCGAAGCCCTACCAGGGTGAGGCGCCCGGGGCGAGGTGGTCTTGCAGGGGGAGGGCTTCGGGACCTGAGCTCGTCCGTGGTGAGGGGGCCGGAAAAGGGCTTCGTGGTCCGCAGGAAACTGCCGGCGGCGCTTGGGAGCCCACGAGGACTCCCGCCACGTTTGAGAGCCACAGGTCCGAAGGACAGGGGTCCCCCGCACCTTTCCCGAGCGCTGGAAGTTTCTAGTAGGTCTGGGATGCCACCAGCCCGAGGCCTGGACGAAGGGGAGCTCGGAGTTGGACAAAAGGAGTGGGATGGAAAAAGGACGGAGAATAGTGAGGAGTGATTGAGCACCATTAGCAGTGAGCCAGTATCAGGACGGAGCTGTGGATGTGTTAGAAATAAAGCATGAGAAAGAACTGGGGCAGAGCTTGGCCAGAGTGAGAAAGAAGATTAATTTTTGTTGCTGATTAAAACACCTGCTTTTTTCAAGGGCAGGAGCCCTAATGTTGAAAGAGGCTGGTTAGCTTTGCTCAGTTTAGGGTTCATAGACCCCTAAGCATAGCTTATCCACCAGAAGATTGGTACAGTTAACAATAAAGAGGACAAATCAGTGGCTTGTGCCTGTAGGCACAGCTACTCCAAAGACTGGCAGAAGGATCCTTTGACATGAATTCCAGACCAGCCTGGATGAGCAACATAGTGAGACCACAAAGAAAAAAGAAGGAAAGAAAGAAAAACAGCAACAGCAAAAAATTTATTAGTGCATTAGTGACAGAAGGTGGAAGATCGAATGAGATGAAATAGAAAAAAGAAATAAGCTCCAGCTTTTGTGTGACTTTTTGTATTGTTGAGGAGTGTGAGCTGATCTACTTCCTTTCCCTAGGTGTGGGCACTGGCAGCTCTTCACTGTGGAATCTGATGGGCAATGCCATGGTAATGACCCAGTATATCCGCCTTACTCCTGATATGCAAAGTAAACAGGGTGCCTTGTGGAACCGGGTGGTAAGAATCTCTCCCTCTTGTTTTGGTGACCCAGAATGTTTTGAGAAGTTCAGCAATGGCATATTGAGTTAATTTTACTGTCTATTCCCAGTATTCTGTCATCAGTAGATGTCAAGGATCATTATTTCAGAGATTATGGTGACCTTCATAATAAAGAAATCAGCTACTTAGGGACATGCTCTCTTTTGTCCTTATTATAGCAAATAAGTCATTTTGAATCTGTTTTTAGGAATGTCTTTTATTCCTGATTGACTCAATAGTACCACTTCTTGGAGTTTAATGACTCTTATATCCTATTAAATTTGTAAAGTAGAAGAATGCTTTTTTTCCCCCCTTCCCATACCAGGGATTAAATCCAGGGACACTTGGCACTTAACCACTGAGCTACATTTCCAACTCTTTTTATTTTTTGAGACAAGGTCTTGTTACATTGCTCAGGGCCTCACTAAGTTGTTGAGGCTGGCTTTGAACTTGTGATTCCCCTGCCTCAGCCTCCTGAGTCACTGGGATTTCAGGCATATGCCACTGGCCCCAGTGAAGGGAGTGCTTTTTAAAAATTTATCCCAGAGCTGGGCTTGGTGGAGCTCACTTGTAGTTTTAGCTACTTTGGAGAATGAGGCAGGAGGAACCCTCGAGCTGGGGATGTAGCTCAGTGGTAGAGTGCTTGCCTAGCATGTGCAAGGTTCCACCCCTTGCATGCATGCATGCATAAATAAATAAATCCAAATTTTACCCCAGTAGCTTTCCCTTGTTATTTCAGTTTGAAGAGTCTAATTTAAAATTTTATTTTCATATGAAAGTCACTGAGAGCTGTTGGTCATTTTATCTGTCCCTCTCTGGACTTTTTCTAGCTACATTGTCTTCCTTGAGGTATGGTGGCAAGAAGTGAATGCAGTATTCCTGGTGTGGCTGCACTGTGATTTTGTACAAGTGTAAGATGATGCTTTCTTTTTGGTTTCCAGGCCTCTCTCTAAATCCTTTTAAACTATATGACTTTTGGGGATGACTTTGGCATCCTTTGGTATGTTCTCTTGGGCTCCCATAAATGAAGAAAAAAAAATCTTACTTCTGCATGGCTTTTCTCATTAGTTATAGATGAGTGAACCTCAGAAAAGAGAACTGTTTCTTTTCCCTATTCATTTTCTGGAGCAGAGACTTCTAAAGGAGCAGAGGGGGTAAGAAGTTTCTCAGTGAGTTATCTGTGCTAGTTGGCCCCATAACCCAGATTTTAGTGTTGAGCTCATTTTTGAACAGAGTCTAGAGCATGGTAAAAGATTTAAAGGGCAATTGAAGTACTTGAATTATGAATCCAGCTGTGTCACTGACCCATAATGAGCCCTCCACAGGTTATTTAACCTCTCTGTTTTTAGTTTCTTCATATGTCAAATGAACTTAATAATAATCTGTTATACTTGCCCACCAGAGTTGTTGTGAGAATAAAATAAGACAAAAGATGGGAAAAGCCTTTTTTGAAAGCTAGAATGGTTACAGAAATATGTGTTGTTATTACATCTGTTAAAAATTTCATTTTGGGGGCTCTTATAGGTAAATAATTGAATTATGTTCAAGGCTTGTACTTTGCTGCAGTCTTCTTGTCTTTCTACACATCATAATTCATTTAACAGCAATTGTATTCTAGGATCTAGTTCTCCTACCCTTTTTTAGATTTTTTAAAAAAATATTTATTTTTTAGTTGTAGGTGGACACAATACCTTTATTTTATTTTTATGTTGTGTTGAGGATCAAACCTAGTGCCTCACACATGCGAGGCAAGTGCTCTTCTTTGAGACACAACCCCAGCCCCCCTTTTTCAGATTGTTTGATACCTATTTTTTACTACTTGTCCATTAGATTGAGCAGTGGAGTTATTTCTAAGTTATTTGAATAATGGATCTCAAAAGTGACTGTCTTTTGGTTTCAGTGCCTGGGTTCCACCCTGAGATGTAATTGGAAAAGGGTGCAGCTTGGCCATGGAGATTTTAAATAGCTCCCCTAGGAGAATCCACCAAGCAGCAGAGTTTCAGAACCACTGTTAGACATAACCCAGAACAGTATGGCACTGTGCCACAAGAGGCCAAGCATCAGTGACAGGTATCTTTTGGCTCATTATGAACTTCTCTGGCCCTCTTCTTAGGGACATAATATCTACCTACTAATAAATCTGTGGATAGATATCTGTCACTGAATTTCACCCTTGCCCTAAAATCTAAATAAAGCAGCAGAGAGATAAGAGCTCAAAGTGACAAGACATGGACTGGGCTCTTCAGAACAGGGTAAGCTATTGGGGATTTCAGGGATCTTTGCTGAGAGCAAAAGTATTCAGTCTCCTTTCATTTTGACTTTGTTCCCCTAATACTAATGCTTTTGGAAAATATCCCAAAAATTAAAAACAAAAGCTGAAAATGGTCAAGCAATGTGTTGCTCAAGAGCCAGAACAGTCTGTTTGGAAAGCCTTTGGCTGAACCCAACTGGTCTGCTTTTTTCTCCCCTTCTTCCTTCACAGTGGACTCTAACCAGGAGCTTCTCTAAGCCCACATATTGTACCCACTCTGTTTTTTCCTTGAAACTGTTCAACTCTTTAAAGCACTTAACCATCTGCTTGCCTCTTCTACTTTTAAAGGTTTTGAGACACTATGCAAAAAGAGAACAGAAGTCTGATTAGCACCTATGTCCTTAACGTGTCATCACTAGAGAGGCTGTCCCAGTGATGGGAGTGGTATTCCCCTCTGGTACCTTTATGCTTCCTGGTCACACCATGAAGGTTTGGGGACTATAGCTCACCCTTCTTGTGGGAACTCAGGCTTGCCCCTCGGCTTGGCAGAGGGCCAAATCTAGCTAATTAGAGTTGTTTGTAGCATCTGTTAATTATTCCTGGAAACCTTTGCAAAATGACTTAGCTTTTCTTATTCCTTTATAGTGAATAAGGCTTTGACCATTCTTTTAATCTCAGTTTTTTAGAGTCTTTTTTCAGAGGAATGATCTCAAAATGCAAATGAATATTAATTTAGTCATCTGCTGAAGAGGCTGAGAGACTGCTGGGTAGATGTAGGATCATAGTAGTCTAACTTGTCTTTTCCAACTGTGGAGTCCTATCCAGTTTCTGTTGGGAGATGCTGAATATGATTAGGTGGTTTGTTCACTCTTCATATTAAATATCTTAAACAGTCGCATAACTTGATGCTTTAATTTTATGATGCACACACATCAAAAGCCTTAGATTTCAATTTTAACACTTAGCCTTATTACCTACATTTATGTTTTCCAAGTCTGTAGACTGCTGCTGAGGACTTGAGGGTTTTCGTATTTCGTACTTCTTATTGATTCCAGCATCTTTTTTTCCCCCCCCCCACTTTAGCCATGTTTCCTGAGAGACTGGGAATTGCAGGTGCACTTTAAGATTCATGGACAAGGCAAGAAGAATCTGCATGGGGATGGCTTGGCAATCTGGTACACAAAGGATCGAATGCAGCCAGGTATTGGGGACCCTGAGTTGCTCTTGTGTGTGTGTGACAGGCCTGCTTTTTCATGTGCCCTCTTTTTGAGAAGGCTTCACCCTACAGTTTTCCCTCTCCCCTTATGTCTATGGATGCACACTGGCCTGTGTAGTCTCCAGAATGGGGTGGTTCTTTATTAGCCCTTATTAGCTGCGTAATAGCAGCTGACCTTGACTCATCCTGGGGGTGATTTCTTGCTTGCTAGTTCCTTCTGAGTTTCCCTGTGAAGCCTGGCCCATCAGCTGAATGGAAGCACTGGCTCTCCTAAGCATTGATGACTGGTGAGCTGATTTCTTCTGGCATATTCAGTGAGTGCTCTCAGCACTTCTAAGTCCAGAGAAGAGTTTTCTGTTTTTCCTTGCAGTGTGGAGCCATTGCTTTAAGTAGATGGCAGGCTCAACCTGATTTGACCTGATCGCTTTTGTAATAAGAAGTAGAACTTGGGAATTCATTTCTCTCTTGAGAGCATAATCTTCACCAAGTGTTTGTGAAGCAGAATTCTGTAGGGGCACCTGAACAACCAGTTTGGATCAGGGAGCTGCCATAGTGCTAAACAAGGTTGTAGTGGCCTTTTCTCTTTCCCTTTCTTCAATAGCAAACAACTAGATATTTACTGGGCCCTTGGTACAGGCCATGCAGTTTGCTTGGTGCTTGCACGTGTGTTTTCTCATCTTGAGAGGCCTGGGAGTCATTTGAATTTCACTTTTCCTTCATCATTGTGAGATATTATTCCTTTATCAACTCTTGGCTTTATTTCATTGTTCATCATCTGTTCTCTCTCTCTAGGGCCTGTGTTTGGAAACATGGACAAATTTGTGGGGCTGGGAGTATTTGTAGACACCTACCCCAATGAGGAGAAGCAGCAAGAGGTAATGGCAAGTGTCAGAGCCTAGGGCAGCTGCACTGACATCACAGTTCTTTCCCTCATGAGTGTTGTGCAGGAGGGAACTGAGGGAAGAGACAGTGAGGGGTTCTTCATCTGTTGAACTTCAAAAGTTAATGTCCTTGTCAGTATTTTTTCTAGAGAGAACTATGATTGCACAGTCCTCTGGGAATAGCTGTCATGAATGGGCACTTTTTCTGTGGTGTTAACAACGTTCTGTCTTATGCACATTAGGTAGCCACTGAAATTGAGCACACTTTGGCTGCTAGTTCAGCACCAGAGCAGCTGAATTTGTGTAACTCTGCTCCCCTAACTTTTACTCCCATCACTGCTGTGCTCTCTTCTGCAGCTTGCTCACCCTTTCCAGCATCTTTTTCTTCTTCCTCTTTTCAGACTTGAGCAGCAGTTCTTACCTATCAGAGAGATTATAAGTAAAAGGAAATTGATATAATCCTGGCATTTTGATGGAACCCAGTACTGGCCATTGGCAGAGCTGCTTGCTTTTTATGAGTTGACCCTAAGCATTCTTTGATACTTCCATATACTGACAGCAGGCTTGTACTTTCTCTGTCATGTGATGCTGCTATCAGATGGTGGACAAATTATTATGGCAAGTTGTCACTGGATATCCTGTAGGTAAATAATGCTTAACAAGAGAGGATTAGGGGGGCTGGAGTTGTTGGCTCAGCGGTAGAGCGCTCCCCTAGTGTGCATGAGGCACTGGGTTTGATCCTCAACACCACATAAAAAAATAAATAAATAAAAATAAAGGCATTGTGTCTATCACAACTAAAAAAATTTAAAAAAGAAGAGACACTTGTTTAAACCCATTCTGCCCTGATGAAATATTTACTAAATAAATATATACATATTAAAAAAAAAAAAAGAATTAGGAATGGAAGAAGAGGTGACTTTTTTTTGTGGCAAAGGTTTATTATGAAAAATATTAAACGTGTAGAATGATCATCATATGCAACACCCAGATTCAGTAATTACATTTCCCACAGTGCTCACCTTAGAGGGGATGGAATGAAGTGAGACCTCAGTTAGGAGAAGAACCTTTTGTTGTGGGTCAGTTGAGAGTTCCTTCTTCATGCTCCTTCTGGGCTTCTCTTCGTTCCACATGCATCACTTTCTAGGTGGCAGACCCTGGGAATTAGTGAGTAAGACCAACATGGTCCCTGCACTTTAGCATGGCGGGTGGTATGGGGAATCTTGGGCACCATGGGACCCAGGAGGAGCTCTAACCTTGAGTGGAGTGGTGGCAGCCATGGAGGGCTTCCTCCAGGAAGTAATGTTTACATTGGAGTCTGCAGGATAAGGAGGGAAAGTGTCCCTTAAGGGGCTAAGGTTGCAGAGGGGAAGAGGAGTGTGAGGAGGTAAAAGAGCATCTGATAGGGATGAGGCTAGAAAGAACAGCAGGGTCAGCAGTCTTGCCGAGTTGCACGATTCCAGGACAGCTGTCCATGTTACTTCCTTTAGTGTTCATACACTGGCTATTTATGTTACAGCAGCTTCATCATGTACTGCAGGAGGCCTGCTTCTGAGTGGAGGTCTGGACATGATTGTAAAGGGGCACGTGCACTAAGGGACACTGATGAGGGGAGAGTTAGGACTAGATTTGTAATCTTGCTGTCAGCAGAGTCTTAGTGGTAGTTAGAAACCCATAGTAGGAGCTTCAGGGCTTGATGGGAATTTTAAACCTGGTTTTTCCTGTCTCTGTTGTCTTTGTAGTACTGAGGATTGAAGTCATGGTGGTCTACCAGTGAGCTACATCTCTAGCCCTTTTTATTTTATTTGGAGACAGGGTCTTGTTAAATGGCCTAGGCTGCCCTTGAATTTGTGCTCCTCCTGCCTCAGCCTCCCATAAAAAAAATTAAAAGGGCTAGGGATGTAGTTTAGTGGTAGAGCATCCCAGGTTCAATCTCCAGTACTAGGAAAAAAAAAAAAAATTCAAAAAGCAATTTTAAGCTGGGCGCGGTGCTGCACACCTGTAATCCCAGTGGCTTGGGAGGATGAGGCAGGAGTATCATGAGTTCAAAGCCAGCCTTAGTGAGGCACTAAGCAACTCAGTGAGACCCTGTCTCTACATAAAATACAAAATTGGGCTGGGGATGTGGCTCAGTGGTCAAGTGCCCCTGAGTTCAATCCCCAGTAGCCCCCCCTCCCACACACACACACACACAAAGTAGTTTTATTTCTATACATCTGTACGCTTGGAATGGACAATCCAATAATGAAAGTAAAACAATTCTGCCTACACTATTATCAAAAAGAAGTGTTTTAACAGAAAAAAATTGACAATTACAGAACACTTTTCAAAAAAAATTACAGAGGATCTGCTGGGCATGGTGGTGCATGCCAGTAAACCCAGTAGCTCAGGAGGCTATGAGGCCAGTCTGGGCAGCTTAGTAAGACCCTTAGCAAGAAAAGAAAGAAAAAGAAAAACATGGCTGAGGCTATAGCTCAGAGGTAGAACACCCTGGGTTAAATCCCTGGCCAAAAACAAAAAGGAAAAGAAGAAGAAAACAAAGAAAAAATAAGGAAGACCTGAGTAACCAGAAAGACATGCCATGGCATGGATTGGAAGATTTGGAATTGTTAAAATGGTGATGCTACTCACATAGATTGGTAGGGTTTGTTTTGTTTTGTTTTTTAAATATTATTTCTTAGTTGTAGGTAGACACACAATATCTTCATTTCTTTTCTTTTTTTTTTTTTTTTTTTGTGTGGGGGTGGGGACTCAATCCCTCACACGTGCTAGGCAAGTATTCCACCACTGAGCCATAACCCAGCCCTGATTGGTATTTTTAATTCCTGTTGATCAAAAATTTAGCTGGCTCCTTTGTAGAAATTAACAAACTGATCCTATAATCCATAAGGAAGTTCAAGGGACCCAGAATAACTGAAATAATCTTGAATAAGAATGAAGTTGGAGGCCAGTCATGGTGACACATGCCTGTAATCCCTGCTACTTGGGGGCTAAGGCAGGAGGATCAGAAGTTCATGGCCAGTGTGTGCAATTTAGCAACTCTGTCTCAAGATAAAACAGAAAGTGCCAGGCATGGTGGTGTATACCTGCAGTCACAGCAATTTGGGAACTTGAGTCAGGAGGATTGCAAGTTCAAGTCAGCCTCAGCAACTTGTCGAGGCTCTAAGCAATTTAGTGAGACTGTCTCAAAGTTAAAAGAGAGCTGGGGTTGTAGTTCAGTGGTAGAGTACTTGTCTCGCATGGTGTGAGGCATTGGGTTGGATTCTCAACAACACATATAAACATACAAATAAATAAAATATAAATAAATAAATAACATAACTAAGAAAATGTTTAATAAAAAAAAAAGATCTGGGGCTGTAGCTCAGTGACAACATGCCCCTGGGTTCAGTCCCCAGTACCAAATAAAAGAAAGGTTGGGCATGTAGCTCAGTGGTAGAACACTTACCTAGCATAACTGAGCCCTTGTGTTCAAGCTCCAGTATTGTTAAAAAAAATGAAAATAGAAATGTATCGATGGGCTGGGTGCGGTGGTGCATGCCTGTAATCCCAGTGACTCGGGAGGCTGAGGAAGGAGGATCATGAGTTCAAACCCAGCCTCAACAACTTAGTGAGGCTTTAAGCAACTTGGTGAGACCCTGTCTCTAATAAAATATATAAAGGGGGCTGGGGATGTGGTTGGTGATTAAGTGTACCTGGGTTCAATCCCTGGTACCAAAAAAAAAAAAAAAGAAATAAAATTATCATGGACCTAATTTAAAAATTAAAACTATAACCAGGTATGGTGGTACATGCTTGAAATCCCAGCAACTCAGGAGACTAAGGCAGGAGGGTTGCAAGTTCAAGCCCAGCCTTAGCTACTTAGCAATTTAATGAGGCCCTGTCTTTAAGTTGAAAGGGGCTGGGGATGTGGCTCAGTGGTTAAGCACCCTAGAGTCTAATCCCCAGTAAACACAAGCCCTCCAAAAAAGATTAAAACTTTAAAACTCATTTTTCATGACCTTGATTAGGTGATGGTTTCTTAGATATAACAAAAAAAAAAAGAGAGAGAGAGAGAAAAATACATTGACTTTATCAAAACTAAAAAACTCGCAGGGCTGGGGTTGTGGCTCAGCAGTAGAGCATTCAAGGCCCTGAGTTTGATCCTCAGCACCACATAAAAATAAATGAAAGTATTGAAAAAGAAAAAAACAAAACTTGTGTACATCAAGAAAGTGAAAAGTCAACAACACATGGAATGGGAGAAAATATATACACATATTTTGTTAGGGACTTTTTTCCTGGAACATATAGCACTATTACAACTCAAAAAGAACCCAGTTAAAAAAATGGGCAAAGTATCGGATTAGATGTTTTTCCAAAGATAAGCAAATGGCCTACAAATACATTAGAAGATACTCAAGATCATTAATCATCAGGGAAAAGCAAATCCACCATAATGAGGTGTTTTTCCACATATACTCAGGATGGCTAAGGTAAGAAAGATGGATGACCTGTGGTGACAAGGATGTGGAATGATGTGGAACTCGCGCACACTGCTAGTGGAGATAGAAAAGGGTGCAGTTGCTTTGGAAAGCAGGTCTTTCTTTCTTTTAAAGAGAAAGAGAGAATTTTTAAATATTTATTTTTCAGTTTTCGGTGGACACAACATCTTTATTTTAGTTTTATGTGGTGCTGAGGATCGAATGCATCACCCTGCGCATGCCAGGCGAGCGTGCTACCGCTCGAGCCACATCCCCAGCCCAGCAGGTATTTCTTAAAATGGTTCAAAGATAAATATAATTTAGATGATGCAGCAATTCCACTCATAGGTCTATACCCCAAAGAAATGAAAACACATCTACAAAGAAAGTTAAACATGAATGTGCATAGCAGCCACAAGGTGGATACATCTCACTTGTCCATTAATTGATGAGTGGACGAAATACATTTATACAATGGAATATTCAGCAATAAAAAGAAAGGAAGTATTGATAGGTGCTTCAATATGGATA